CGTTCCAATGAAGGAATTCTCTTTTCTGGAGCGTATATTTATTCTTTGCCGAGACGCCGAAATCGGCCATCTTCACTTCGCCTTCCAGCGTCAACAGAACGTTTCCCGCCTTCACGTCCCTGGAAACCGTAGCGGATCGCTATTAGTGCGCTCATGTTGATGCTCCCACAATGATCCTGGATTTCGATGTAATGGATTTCTTTCTAACGTATCGCCCTCAATTTACCTGTGGATTACTCGATGCGAGTGCAGATACGATAATGCTTTCAGCATCTCCCGACAAACATAACGGATCAGGTGTTCGGTGAGCGGTCTTTCGAGATCCACCATGATCGAATCCAGAGCTCCGCCTTCACAGTACTTTAGGAAGAGCTGGAAATTATCATTTGTTCATTTATGGAATGAATATTGAATATTTCTCTTCAATAAATGGAAAGTCATTCATTGAATACTAGTATTAGTACATTCTGAAACAGCCGCTGATAATTCCTCCTTGAAATCCTCGTCGTACCCTGCATCTTCCGATTGCCATAAGAAGTGGAGGTCTCGCAGAGTTTGAGCTGCTTGGCCGTTTCTGTCGGCTTTTCCTTCGGGGTTTGTCCCTGGGACGATGAGGTGGTCATCTGGCGTGGATGATCGCGCCGGTTGGATCGTGTCGAAACCACAAAACCGGGAGAGAGGACTCTCGATCGTGGTAGCTCCCTGGGAGCCGCCGAAAACCCATTCGAACATTGAATTGAAGGCGAAGACATCTCCGATAGCTTTAGGATCTGAGAAATTGATTTTTGTCAATTGATCCTGCCCCAAGAGAATGTCCACCAATGGATCGTTGGTACGTGCGATTGAGTCGGCTACTGGCGTGAGGTTGAAGTCTTGTTCCATGACCGGGAACTCCGATCTTGAAATACAGTCAAGCTCGATGGCTCTGAGCCGTAAACTTCTGTTCGCATGATGTCTGCTTCTCAGGGTCACATGGTGTACTCCACAATTCCGGATGTCCGTAATTTGTCCTCCTGCAGTTCCCATCGTGAAATCCAGGTGCGTGAAAGGTCACGATTTCAATTTTTCGGTGAGACCTCTTGTCACGTGAGAGGCTTGTGATCCTGGATCGATTAGAATGCGACATGGTACCTTGGTGGAACCTACTTCCGCCCATGCCGCCGCCGTCCACAGGAAAACTGAGTCGCCTAGAGTGTCCATGCCCATGTTGACTGATAGGTTTGCCTTCGGCTTGCCGCTGGTATTCTTGGACGACTTCGGGCAGATGATCGCGTAAATGTTCGCGTTGCAGTATCGGCACTTGGTCTTCGGGCCTTCTCTGCAGTATTTCGCATCGTGGTTGAGCTTCAGACATTTGAAGCAAGCTCTGGCTGTCAGCATTTTTTCTTGACGTTCCTCATACGTCAGGGGCTGCGTGCATTTGAAAGGGGGATGGTCGCCTTCGCAGAACAGACACGGAAGGCTTTGTCCCCTGGGAGGTTCCCTGGGAACTGAACGGCTGGGGAACGCTGATGAAGCCACGTGAAAGCTGTTTGAGGAGTCCTTGAAGGTTGTCGTTCTGCCCGGATTGCTGAACTGATCTCGAGATTGGTAGAATGATGGACGTGTTGGAGGTCTCCTGGGTCCCTTCCGATGCTGGAACTTGTCGTTGCTCCTGGAGCTCGAAGGTTGGTGTGGAGGTCTCCTTGATGAGCCCTGGTTCTCCCTGAGAGCTTCTGTTGTAAGCGCTTCTGCCTTAAGGAATTTAATTAAGGCTTCAAGCTTGCATGTTTGTGTTGTGGTTTGTGTTGACCTGTAAGAATCCATGAATTTACGCTGCGTCTCGTTTGAGAACTTGGCGAGGATTATATCGGCGAATGCGGGGGTTAATGTTATGTATGATTGACCGAGAGTGATAAGTGCTAGAATGTGCTGAGAGATCGAGTTGACAAAACCGGGTAACTTATCGTAATTGATGTCCCCTCCGGATGAGGTGATCCTCTCCAGCTCTCTCAGGTGTCCGTCTTCCGCCATGCTCGTTTGTCCGTATAACTCCTGTAGTATCTGCTTCATTGGTTCGTAGCTTTCTGCACGGAGGCTTAGATGTTCCACACTGTGGTAAGCCCGGCCCGTCAGAGCGTCGTGGAGCAAGATGATCTTCTGAAGAACTGGTATATTTCAGTCGTGGACGAAGGCATCGAACATATCCCTAAATTTTCGGTATTGTTTCGGATCCCCGTTGAATTTTGGCAGTTTGAAGCTCTCCGATAACTTCGGGAGATAGTTCTCGGGGGGGCTCTGTGGGGCTGCTTTCGTTCTTGCACGTGATTTCTGGATCCGCGGGTGTTGTGATGCCCTGGGGTGCTTGCGGAACTGGCGCTGGATCTGGTGGAGGTATGCTCGGAGTGTTCTCAGGTGGGGGCAGCTGTGCGATACGGGAGACGTTCGGTGACGATGTCGTCGCTGAGTTTCCCGAACTGTTTGCGCCTCTGATCTGCTCGTCAACCTGGGTAGATGTTCTCCACTGTGGATCTTGGTTTGGGGGTGGGGCGACTGGTGTCGATGTTTGAACGACTTCTGGGTTTTGACTCCTTCCAAACGTCGATTCCACCGTCAGAGCTTGGAGGTCCTGGACCAAACTTAGTCGGAGCTCTCTGAGGTATTTTAGAGTCTTCCGAATATTGTTCTCGATCCCGATGAAGTCTGCCAGTTCTAGATAGCCCTGAGAGGTTGATCCCCGGCGTGAAGTCAGGTGAGCTTTGGTCACGAGTAGCCACTCCTCCAGCAGAGATGTGATGGTGCCTTTATAGTCGTCGACCTGGTCGAGTGCATCTCTCTTGTCTGCATTCTCATTGTAAAACGAGGTCGCTTCGTTGATGTAGAAATTCACTCGGGTTTTCAGGATATCGACCTCAGAGATCGCGGGCTGTGTTTGTTCTGTCGGTGGAGCGATGGCGTTCAGGGGATTCTGGGGACCTGCCCTTGTTTCCGGTTCGGGAGGAAATTCGGGGCGACCTGGTCGCTCGGGATCGCTATCTGGTTCTGGTGTTCTCCCTCGCACTGCAGCCCGAGAACTCTGAGCTCGACTTACTTCCGCTTGAGATGAAGATTCAGCCGAGGTGATTGCTGTTCGGGTTTGAGTCACCATGTTGAGTGCTGAAGATCCTGGGCTCGGCGATGTCGATCTGGAGGCTATCAGAGATGGTGGTCTGAGCAGCTGGCTGTCCTCTCGGTCTGACCGACGAGTTTCGTTGTTTCCACTTTCCGCGATACCGCGATTCACGATGGTTCGAGCCATGTCCTCAAAGTGGCTGTCTGGTGGGTCGTCGGAAAACGAGTCGGGATTCTCCGATACCCGTAAGGTCCGGGAGGATTCCGGGAGAACCGGTGACGATCTGCCCTGGGCAGCACCCTCCTGATCATGCGGGCTGCCTGGTCTGGATTCTCCGCTCATACCTGAGTCTGGTCTGGAATTCTGCTGTCGATGATCCTGACCCCTTCTTTAGGCTTAAGAGCGATTGAGCCGCGACAGGTGAATTTTCCTCTTCGTGGTGGTGCGAATTCTGCTTTTCGCCGATGCACCTGGTGCTCGAGGTGGATTGATGAGGATCGTATCGACGGAAGTTTGAATTTATCGTACCGAAGATGATTTTCGCGGAAGATGATGTCACACGCGGACTCCAGTGAAGGAGCTCCCGTTTCGATGAAATCTGCTGATTTGGTGACCGGATGTTCTGGGCATTCGGGCTCTGATGACTTCTGACACCAATTTGTGGCGAACGCACCTCACTGCCGAGGTTCTGAACCTCGACCGGCTGAATGAAAACACAAGAACTGAACTTGTAGAGTTCACGTGGAGTGCGCTGCGCAGATAGAAGGATTGGACGGGAAATCTCCTGGAGATGATTGAATGAGAGCGAAGGAGGAATGAGCCTCCGTTCGCTGAGAGAAACTGAATGGTCACCGGGGTTTTGAACCCCTGGACAAACTTCACGAGGAGCTCTGATGCTACCTCGTGACCGTGATTCTCGATGATGATTGATTAACTTGCTGTCCCTCCGCCTCTGTCGCCACTGTGCCTTGCAATGTTGACAACTTCTCTATCGGCTGACAGAGAAACAGCTGATGCTCAGCTCTGGAGACGCCAGCACTGTGCTGATGGACGTACCTATGCGGCGCACTCCTCGAGAGGTTTATTGATAACGAAACTTGATAGGACTGCTCGTCCTGGACAGGATGTGATAACATAACTTAAATAATGATTACACGGTGATTGGGGAGTGCTGGAAGTTAATCACGGTTAGACTCGACCTCTGCTGTGTGTGTTGTGTGTTGATTGTTTTTGTGTGTGTGTGTGTGTGTGTAAAGTGTGTGTGTGGGAACGTGTATGTAGGCTCGAAGACGCGACGGCAGCTCCCTTCGTGACACCTTCTATTCGACAGCGCTCGAGTAGCACCGTTCCACCGACCGATCCTCTCGACCGATTCCGTATGACCGAAGCCCCTACAATTGAGTCGGCTGCACCGACATTCGTCCCTGCAGACCAGTGTGGATCGGCGCAGATCGGAAAGACCTCCTTCCCTTGGGCTTACGATTGAACAATTCGTCACATTCCCGAGAACGATTCAGCTAAAGGAGGGAGATGAAAAAAACTCCGAAATTTCAGAAAAAAAATATATATATTTATTCCGTTATATACATTAAAGTATTCACAGATCTGCGTCGGAGTATCTGACTCCCGACGACAAACAGGCGAGATTCTCTACTGTTATGCAGACACCAGATGAGCCTCTCTCACAATGCAATATTGTTTTCGGCACACGCGCTGCACCTCGGCGGGTTGACGCCGTCATTCTCGGCGCAGGTGAAGTGGACATAATGGTCTCGGCAGCTCACGGTTGCGCGCGGCCTCCGGCACTCAACGCATTTCACGGACTGCGACTGGAGCAACTCATCTCTGAGGAGGTCCCTCGTGATTTCCCGACCTCGAAGGTCAACATTGTAAATCTGCCGGTCAAATTGATGTTTTATCTTCTGTTCTAGGACCCATCGTCAAGTGGAGTGAAGATAAATATTCACGACAAATTCAGGGAGATATGTCAGGAGGAGGAGATGAAAAATCGACTAACCACACAGCCGCGGTGCGATCGCAGCGGGGCCCCTAAGAAGTCGTAGACGACTTCATAACATTCGTCTTCCGGTATCCATCTTTCACAGAAGGCGCAATCGCCTTCGAAGACTGAAAATTACAAAAATGATTCCAGCATCTCGGAGAAGAAGTGCTTCGCGAGAGCCACGTGCCAGCACAACTCGAAAACTTCCGAAACGTCCAGACGCTTCAAGCAGGAACTTACCTCTGCTCAAGATCCGGTGGGCGAGTTCGTCCAAACTTACGGCTTCCATCGATGATCGAAGTATTGAGCTCGCAGCTCTCAGAGAAAGTGCCGTCAACGATGAGAAGCGCGGCTTTTTATGGCGGAGACACTCAAATCTCTCACTCTCTCTCTCTCTCAGCAGGTGCTCGACGTAGTTCACAGATCAGGTGTACGTTCTCTCTCGAGCGACGTGTGAGGTAGGAAACATCGCGCATGTGATATTGACGCACTGATAGAGCTAGACATCCATCGATATAACAAACCCTCGAACGTTCTCGAAGCGA